AAATCGTTAGCAACTCGGACCTGAACCGCGATTGTTTATGCGAATGAACATGAATTTTTTGAAAAACGACCGTTCGGGCAACACTTCCAATTTTTCATGGACTGGGAATTTGCACTTTTTCAAAAAATCTGCGTTTGTCATTTTTCCACAAAGCGAGCATCGAAAAAACGACCGGGCTTCATGCAAAAAACCGGTAATTATGCAACTGGATGTCCGAGCGGCTCTATAATGCACCACCTTTAGCCCAACTAGCGCTTTTCTTCCTGCATGATGGAAAGGGTCAAAGCACGCCAATATGAGCCCAAGTGTTAGGCTACAGCGTAGGGATCATTCTTGCTAATAGCGATCTGCGAGTTTAGTGTAAAACGCATGATCGCACCGGAGAGCCTGGTGCGTTCCAGTCTGGGTTGTCTATATGCAAATTACAAAAACGCATATTGCGACGACCTTGTGTGTGTGTGTGTGTGTGTGTGTTCGTCTGTCCGGGTATTTTAACTCAGCAGCCAATCACATCCCAGTGTCAAGATTTTGCTAGTAGGTTCCCTGGTCAAGTGCCACCCCAGAACCGCGGTACCAACTCTCACGCAAGTCTGGGCCCCGTGTACGAGGGGGATGAAAGTTTTGGCAGGAAAATTGATAACCCGAGAACGAGAAAAGATAGAAAGCTGAAATTTTGAGGTTATGTTCCCCCATCCAAATATAATTCAAAGATTCCAAATTCAGCCTCCAGGTGTGCATGGTTCCCGCGTACGGCCCCGTGAGATTTTTCGGCGGGAAAATGGCTAACTTGGGGACTGGCAAAGCTGGGAAGCTGTAATTTTCAGGAAATGTTCCCATCCCATGTACGATTTAAAGTTATCAAATTCATCCCCAGGCATGCCCAGTCCTCAGGTCCGGCTCCGCGAAATTTTTTGGCGGGAAAATGGCTAACTCGGAAATTAGCCAAGCGGAGAGGCTGAAATTTTCAGGGAATGTTCCTAGCATAAGTACGACATAAACCTATCAAATTCAGCTCCCAGTCGTAGGTGGTTCTCAAGTACGGCCCCGTGAGATTTTTCGGCGGGAAATTGTTAAATTGTGAAACCACTGGACGGAAATTGTTTATTTCTTTTTATGCAAAATTTGCAATTTTTTACGGTATTAAGCGCACAAGATAGGTGTGAAGAAACAACCGTTCATGCAGTTAATCTAATTACTTCAAGTCTGTTGTAAAAACGCATGATCGCACCGGCTCGCCCGGTGCGTTTCAGCCTGGGTTTTACTGTTGCGCGATCATTGTTAATGCTTCATTCGCTACATTCTGGCTTTGTTGCCAATAATATCGTTATGTTTTTCATCAGTTCGAATTCCCTTACGGATTTATTATGCTGAGCGAGAAATTTAACGCTGAATGAACGCTGGCAAGAACTTGCTTTGCGGCTTAAAGGCAATACCTTCATTGTGCCAAAGGCAATACACTTGAGTTTTTATGTAAATCCAT